CGGTTCTGGGGGTGCTGCTGCTGGTGGCGCTGGTACTGGAGGTGCTGGCGCTGGAGGTTCTGGAGCTGGTAGAGGTGCTGGCGCTGGAGGCGCTGGAGCTGGAGGTTCTGGAGCTGCTGGGGGTACTGGAGCTGCTGGAGGCACTGGAGCTGCTGGAGCTGCTGGAGGTGCTGGCGCTGGAGGTGCTGGAGCTGGAGGTTCTGGAGCTGCTGGAGGTGCTGGAGATATTGGTGCTCGTGGCACTGCACAACCGCGACTGTTTTTCGCTCCGCCGTCACCGTCGTCTCTGCCACCGCCTGACTCCGTGCTTCGCCAGGTTCTTACCCTCCCGTCTTCTACTGGTCTTCCGTTACAGCCCGGCTCACCGCTGCCTGCTCCTTCTCCTTACACTGAGCAGACAGGGGGTCTTGCTGAGCGTCGTGAGCCTGCGTCTCGTCCTGCCTCGCCTGCTCGCACTGTTTGCACCGGTCGTACTGGTCCGCCGGCTGTCCCCGGCACACACCTCATGGCCCTTCGTCCTTCCTCTGCTCCGCAGCGTGTTCCCCTGCCGTCCCCTCCTGCGTCTTCTCTGCCTGACGTTCCAGACCCTGAGTCTCACCAGGTTCGTGCTGCTCACTCTACTGTCACGCGTCTGCTCGCCACTATTGTCATTGACCCTTCGTTTGAGTCCACTGCTGTGTCTGCCTTGGTCGCTGAGCTTGTTGACTTTGCTGCTGCCTGTCGTCTATACTACGCTTCTAGTCTTGTTGCTGAGTCTGAGTCTGTCTGTCCTCTGTCCGTCGGGGGTGAGTGTGCTCTTGGCACGGACGTCCTTGAGGACAGGCAGGAGGACCTTGAGTGTCTTGCGGCTGCTGTACCTCATCTCGTGGCCATGCTGTTTGCCCCTGAGGGAGACCCGGATGCACCAGACATTCCGACCCCGCGCACTTACGCTGAGGCGATCGCGGGTGAGTACTCATTTTAGTGGCAGACATCCACGGACACAGAGATGGCATCCTCGAAGTCCCTCAGGCACTTACGTCAATGAGGTTCCCCCTCCTGGGGCGAACAAGCTTTCGATGGCATGTGGATTTTCAGGGTGAAGCGGCCGCCGGGTTCTCCGCCTGTCTTCAAGGCTCGTTACGTTGCTCGAGGCTTCAGTCAGCGAGAGGGAGTTGACTTCTTCCAGACCTTCTCCCCCACCCCGAAGATGACCACTCTTCGGGTGCTGCTGCACGTTGCCGCTCAGCGTGACTACGAGCTTCACTCTCTGGACTTCAGCACAACCTTCTTACAGGGCAGTCTGCACAATGAGATCTGGCTGCGCCGCCCTCCTGGCTTCACTGGGTCGTTCCCTCCTGGTACCCAGTAGAGCCTCCGCCGGCCAGTCTACGGTCTCCGTCAGGCGCCTCGTGAGTGGCACGACACACTGAGGACGACTCTTGCGGCACTTGGGTTTGCTCCTTCGACTGTTGACCCGTCACTGTTTCTGCGCACCGACACTTCGCTGCCGCCGTTCTACATCCTCGTGTACGTCGACGACTTGGTCTTTGCCACTGCTGATACTGAGGCTCTCGCCCTTGTGAAGTCGGAGCTGCAAAAGAGACACACGTGCACAGACCTGGGTGAGCTGCGCAGCTACCTTGGCCTGCAGATCTCCCGCGACAGAGCACAGCGCACCATCACACTGACTCAATCACACATGGTGCAGCAGGTCCTTCAGCGCTTCGGCTTCACTTGGTCCTCGCCGCAGTCCACTCCTCTGGCTACAGGTCACTCGCTCTCAGCTCCACCTTCGGACGAGTCCGTAGAGCCGAATGGCCCGTACCCAGAGCTAGTGGGCTGCCTCATGTACCTGATGACCTGCACTCGACCTGACCTTGCATACCCTCTTGGCTTACTGAGACGCTACGTGGCTCCTGGTAGGCACCGAAAGGTGCACATGGATGCTGCTAAGAGGGTACTACGCTACTTGTGCAGTACATTTGGCATAGGGCTCGTGCTTGGAGGGCAGAGCTCAGTTGTCCTCACTGGGCACTCAGACGCTTCTTGGGTTGACGACCTGGCTACGCAGCGGTCGTCACAGGGTTACACGTTCAGCCTTGGCTCCGGCTCTGTTTCTTGGCGGTCTACACGCTCGTCTTCTGTTCTCGGCTCCAGCTGTGAGGCTGAGATCTACGCCACAGCCATGGCTGCATAGGAGCAACGCTGGCTCACCTACCTGGCTGCCGACTTGGGAGAGAGGCCTCGTTCTCCTCCGGTTCTGTACGTCGACAACAAGGCTGTCATTGCCTTGTGTCAGGAGCACAGACTGGAGCACAGAACGAAGCACATCGCTTTGCGTTACTTCCTTGCTCGAGAGTTGCAGCAGCGTGGCCAGCTTCGTGTCGCTCACGTGCCCACCCGGGCCAACACAGCTGATGTGTTCACCAAGGCCCTTCCGGCTGGTGATCATCAGCGCTTCTGCACTGCTCTAGGCCTGGTGCCTACGTTTCCTCACTTGCTGTAGACTTTGCTTGTACTGTGATCTATATATATACCTGCAACCTTGTTCTTGCTAGGTAGGGATCACTGTATTGTCGCTGTTGTTGCATATATACCTCTGCATGTGAACTGGCCTTGTGGCTCTTTGCTTGTGCTCGGAGTGTGTGGTGACGTTGTGATCCACCCTGAGCTTGCTTTGCTTTTCTTGACTGGTCGTGTGACCCCTTGTTCTCCCCCACTTTGCCTATGGGGGTGTGTCAAACTATATCTGTGCTAGTTATGTGTAGGCTATAGTGGGGTAGCCCATATGGGGTACAACCCAATATTAGAGTTACAACTTGCACCCACAATTCACTCAATGCAATCATTCCTGCTTGCTATCTTGACAGTTTTTACGCATGTACCGTAAATCAGAATTCAATTTGATCGATGCCGTAAGGTTACACGTACCGTATCTCCCCGGATAAAAGCTCAGGTGCGCTTATAATAAAACAATGTTTTTTAGGAGGGTGCGCTTCTAATTGAGTCATTTTTATAAGCACATGCGCTGATATAATGACATTTATAAATTTCTAAAACACCAAATTGCATATTTCACTCTTGCCTTTCCAACCGAGTCGAAACATTTCGTGTCACAGAACAGATTCTCGTACAAGCGATTATCTTCCAGCACACAGGGGCCAAGCGACACAGCAGCTGCACATCCTGACTGGACGCGCATCCAGTCAGGTCTTCGAGAGTCAAGCCCGAGGAGAGAATGACTCCAGTGGCCAATAAGGTGATTCACCATCCCTCGCGTGGCCACGAATGACTCGAGTGGCCACCAAATTTGGTGATAATGACTCGAGTGGCCACGCCAGGGGATTCTTGCTGGCTTTTTTTTTTCACGGCGCATTACCCTAAGGTGATAAAAACATAAACCCCATGGCTTACGGCATGCCATTCGGGAGCCTCAACCCTAAAATTTTAGGGTTGAGGCTCCCTCGGATGGCATGCCTTCCGAGAGGGTTTTAGTTTTTTTCTTGCCCGCGGTCACTAATGTGTTCGCGCATTTATGCCCCCGCAGAGCAGTTTATGATCGCTGATTTTTTTTACCCGAAAATGACCGCACAACTACTGTTGGTCGTGCATTTTTTACGGTTTTGTGTACAGTGTGTGGGCGAAATTTTCGGGTGCGGAACAGAACGGAACACTACCTAAGGATACCACTCGCACGAATGGGGAGTTTTGTGGCTACAAAGCCCCGTAGGGTAATGCGCCAAAGCAAAAAAAGGCAGCAAGAATCCCCTGGCGTGGCCACTCGAGTCATTATCACCAAATTTGGTGGCCACTCGAGTCATTCGTGGCCGCACGAGGGATGGTGAATCACCTTATTGGCCACTGGAGTCATTCTCTCCAAGCCCGAGCCTATAATGGCTACTTTTCAAGTTCAAGATTATTGAACTAAAATTAGCTAAGGAACCAGGTAACCCGGTTTGGAACACCGATCGCTCGCAACCCCATCCATCGCCAACAAAACACAAAACAGGAACTGCTGTTCATACTTTCTGAAACTTGAAGCTCGGAACTACCTTTCAAGACTCCATGATAGTGGGCTCCTTAGCCCTCGTAATCGGCTTTATCCCGTAAAATCTTACGGTCAACGGAAGCATTACTCACTCCTGTCACTCGTAATCCTGACGTGCACATGCTGTTCGCACATAATGTTAGCGCAAACGTCCACAAGGCGGGTATATCTCGGCTTCCTAAGACGTCGCTCACCTGTTCCCGTTTAGGATTCGAGCACATTACACGCTCAAACCTGTCACTCACACTCTCCCCGTCACTCACAATATATCTATTTTCCGTTTGTCATTTCCTTTCGTTCGCCCACGCGATTCCTCACCGTCGCCCTCGCCTTGCCTTCCCGTCGACCTCGCAAATCTTTCCTTCGCTATCGTAGATCGTGCTCGTCGCCCACAACTCTAGGATCAGACTCCCTCGTAACCTACCTTCCTTCCCTCCACTCGCCTCCTTTTACCCCTCTCCCATCCCCCACAAGACAACTCCCATCCATCCCTTTCCCCTCGCGCAGGTTCGCGATCATCGCTCCGCCCTCCCGTCCCTCCCGTCGCCTCCGTCCCGCATTTCCTCTCGTGTTTCTCTTCCCTCCCGTCCCTCTCGGCCCTCTCCGTAGCTCGCCTTCCACCCCACATTCGCATCGCTCACTTGATCCCTCCGCGCACTCCCTCACGTCGCTCGCTCAAACCCACCGCTCACACAGGGCAATCGCCTCATCAATTCCGTCGCTCACGCACTCACGTTTGACACACCCGTTCCGCGCACGCCCGTTCTGCACACTCCCCCGCACACTCACTTCGTTGCTCAAGAACTCCCGTCCCGCAAGTTTTAGTCCTGTCGCTCACCCGTTGTTGTCCGTCCTTGTTCGTCTCGCGCCCGTCTTCGTCGCTCCCATTGTTCGCTCACCCCCTCCTTTCTTCCTCCCTCCTTCCCCTCCATACCCTGCCATGCGCCAACTTCCCCGCACCTATCTCCGCATGCCTGCCGCGCGTAGCGGTGCTGCAGATCCCGCTGGCGCTGATGATCGAGGACCCGCGCGAGGCGGTTCGGCGGCCTTAGATGGGCATGGTGAATGCTCTCACTACGAGTCTGCCGGCGCTCTCACTTCCGTCGCGCTCTCACTCCCGTCGCGCTCTCACTTCCGTCGCTCTCTCACTCCCATCGCTCTCTCACTCCTGTCGCTCTCTCACTCCCGTCGCTCTCTCACTCCCGTCGCTCTCTCAATTCCGTCGCGCACGTCCCTCCCCTCGCTCTCTCACTCCCGTCGCACTCTCACTTCTGTCGCGCTCCCACTCCCGTCGCGCTCTCACTCCCTTCACCCACGCACGACACACACGACATGCTCACACATGTTCCCATCTCTCTCCTAGCTTCCTTTCCCGCTCTACCCTCAAGCCCTTCCCACCCTCCCTCCCTCCTCCCATGCCTCCCCGCACATCTCACCTTCACAAAAACGTACTCTCTCGATTCCCATCCCTCGCGCTACTCCCCCTTTGCTACGCGCTACTCCCCCTTCGCTACACGTACTCCCCCTTCCCTACGCGCTACTCCCCCTTCCCTACGCGCTACTCCCCCTTCAGAAAGACACTCACTCACTCACTTCCTTCTGTTCATGCATGTCACTTGCTTCCCTCACCGCCCCTCTCCTCCCTTCCCTCTCTCACCCCCCCTCCCTCCTCCAGTCTATCTCGTCCCTCCCGTCGCGCACGTCCCTCTCGCACATCCGTCCCTTTCGCACACCCGTCCCTCTCGCACACCCGACCCCCTCGCACACCCGTCCCTCTCTCACACCCGACCCTCTCTCACACCCGTCCCTCTCTCACACCCGTCCCTCTCTATGCCCATCCCCTCCTTTCCCCCTCAGCCCGTGTCCCCCCTCCTTCCTCAGCCCCTCTCCTCCTTTCCCTCTCAGCCCCTCTTCTTTCCCCTATGTCCTGCCCACCAATTCCCCCCCTTTTTCATCTCTCCCTTTCCCCGTTTCCCCCTTTTCTCCCTCCCTCATACTAATCCCCCCTTTGTCCTTCCCCCCGATTCCCCAGTTGTCCTTCCCTCCATTTCCCCACTTGTCCTTCCCTCCCTTTCCCCACTTGTCCTTCCCTCCCTTTCCCCCATGTCCTTCCCTCCCTTTCCCCCATGTCCTTCCTTCGTTTTCCCCCTTGTTTCTCCCTCCCTTTCCTATCCTCAACCCCCTGGTCTGCCCCTCCATTCCCCTTCTCCCGTTCATCCTCTTTGCCCTCTTCCTACCCTCTGTTGCCCTGTTCCCCATGCCCCTTGCTCAGGGTCCTCATGGCCCATACCCTATTCCCTAAGACCCTCTGTGGGCGGCAGCAGCGGCCTTCGAGGAAGTGGTGGCATACCACACACCTCCGAAACAGAAGCCGTGGGCGCCAACAAGGTTGATTTCCATAGTCAATGTTGTAGTTGCCGCATCGATGTCCCTTACTTCCAGGTGCAGCGCACTCCTGCCCATCGAAGCTGCATCGATCTGTCTCTTCAACTGTACGCATAAGTCGACGGACCTTGCGTTGCGTTATTCTTGTTGGCTGCTTGTTCGTCGCCAATATCTTGTATACTTCCCTGATGCTCAGCCATGTCACATCTTATTTCATGGTTTGTCTATGTACACAGGTCTGCTACGCATCTGGTTGTGGTGATGTATTGACTGTTTGATACTACTACGTTGATTGGCCATGCCGTGCCATACATTGATGTTGGATGCGCTTTGTTATAATACAAACTCTTTGCTCAGAAGCAGCCGTGCACATGACCACTGGAAGTACTTGGCAACTGACTATCGACACGAAGACAGCTAGAAAACGTGATGTTTTTGGGCCACTCTTGGCTGCTACACTGCATGCAATAAACCATGGGCCATGGTGTTGGGACCTGTACCCTGCGCGGCTGGAAACCGGGGTGAGTGAAAGGGGAAACAGACTGAGCAGCGGAAAATAGAGTGAACAGGAAGGAACAAAGCGTGCCGGGGGAAAGACAATGAGCAGGGGAGACTGAGTGAGCAGGGGGAAAGACAATGAGCAGGGGAGACTGAGTGAGCCGGAGAGATGAAGGTGTGTGAGGGTGATACTGCTGCTTGTAACCAGATCAGCTCACAGGGCGGGTTGTGAGGGCGTGTAGGGGGAGTAGAGTGTGGTGGAGAGTGGTGAGGAGCTGTCATACCGTGTGGGGACAGGAGTGGGCGAGGTGTAACACAAGGGCGTCAGAGACAGCAGCAGAAGAGAGGTCGAGGTGTGTGTGGGATACTGCTGCTTGTAACCACTGCTAGCCGCCGGGCGGGGTGTGAGGGCATGGAGGAGGAGTGGAGTGCGGTGGAGGGTGGTGCGGAGGAGGAAGTGTGGCGCCTCGTGAGTGGGAGAGGTCGAGGTGAGTGAGGGAGGCGAGGAGCTGAGGAGGGAAGAGAGAGGAGGGAGGAGCGATTGAGATCCAGAAAGAACGAGATGAGTGAGGGGAAGGAGGAAGAGGAGGAGGGGTGAGAGGAGGAAGGAGATGAGGCAGAGGGAGAGGATGAGGAGGAGGGGAGAGGGAAGTCAAATGGAAAGGAGGGGGCAGTGGGAGAGGTGGAGGGCAGTGAGGGAGGGGTGGGCGGGGAGGTGAGAGAGGGGTGGGCGGGGAGGTGAGAGAGGGCAGTCCAGGCGAGGTTGGCGGAGAGCAGGTGGGGGAAGGCGAGGAGCAGCAAGGCAGAGGCGTTGGTGATGCTGCTGCCCCACACTCACAGATGCGCAAGTGAACCAGCGCCTGCAGGGGAAGGGGGGGGGGCGGGGGTGGAAAGGGGATGGTGGGAGTGGGGAAAAGGGGAGCATCGGTGCAGAGGCGTTAGCGCAAGTGAACCAGCAACTGGAGGAAGAGTGGGTGGGGGATTGGGGGGGGGAAGGGGAAGAGAATGAGCAGGGGAGACAGACAGAGTGAGCCGGGGGGGAGAGAATGAGCATGGGAAATAGGGTGAGCCGGGAAAGAGAGGGCGACGGGAGAATGAGCAGGGCGATGGGAGGGGGGAGCGAGGGCGATGGGAGTGGGGAGCGAGGGCGATGGGAGGGGGGAGCGAGCGCGACGGGAGGGGGAAGCAAGGGCGACAGGAGGGGGAAGCGAGGGCGACGGGAGGGCAAAGCGAGGGCGACGGGAGGGGGAAGCAAGGGCGACGGGAGGGGGAAGCAAGGGCGACGGGAGGGGAAAGCGAGCGCGACGGGAGGGGGAAGCGAGCGCGACGGGAGGGGGAAGCAAGGGCGACAGGAGGGGGAAGCGAGGGCGACGGGAGGGCAAAGCGAGGGCGACGGGAGGGGGAAGCAAGGGCGACGGGAGGGGGAAGCAAGGGCGACGGGAGGGGGAAGTGAGGGCGACGGGAGGGGGAAGCGAGCGCGACGGGAGGGGGAAACGAGGGCGACGGGAGGGGGAAGCGAGGGCGATGGGCGGGGGAAGCGAGGGCGATGGGAGCGGGAAATGAGGGCGATGGGAGGGGGAACGAGGGCGATGGGAGGGGGACGCGATGGGAGCTGTGGCGACGAAAGGGGGAAGCGAGGGCGCCGGACGGTGGCTGCGAGGTCGACAACGCTCTAATTTCTCATCTCGTGCCGCACATGATTTCGTGCTTCACACTCGCATTCGCGTCACATTTCCTCCCTCGGCCCTTGGATTTCTTTAGATTCCGGCCTCAAAGTATATATTCTCACATGTTATACCTAGCTATTTTAGTCTGGATACTTACGTATATGTAGCTATTTTAGTTTCCTAACTCTGATGTTCTATATGGTACTTACGTATGCTTTTCTCAGCCTGCTCCAAGAGTGTGCTTGTGGACTTGTAGAAAATTGTGAGCTGCGTGAGGGTGGTTGGGTTTGGTTTTGTCGTGACTGTTCAAGTTTCTTGGGGTCGGGTCGGAGCCAAAGCTGCGATACACTGTGGACCATTCCGGCTTCGCCGCCTGCCTCTGGCGAATTCTCCTCTCGTCAACCTTCGCGCAACCCTTTTCAAGTTCAGTATTTTATAGCCCTTGCCATTCTAGGCGCCGGCTTCACAAAATGAAATTCGGGAATGAAAATGAGATTGCACTCGCTTCAAAAATGAAATTCGCTACCGTTTTGAACAGAAATTCTATTTTAAAATTGTACATGCGCATAAGTTAAGTTTCCAAAGGGGGTGCACGTATAATTAAGGATCGGCCATGCGCCAGGCCCTCAGATTCACTTTGAGGCACGTAAGGGTGTCAGGGTCCCTCTGCTCCTAGACCCTGATCGGCAGGGTCGCCTAGAAAAAAAGCCTGAAAGTTCAGTGTTACTTTTTAAAAAAGACTGATGCATCAGTGTCCCCTACAGAAAAAGGCTGATAGTAGTAATTGTCTATATTTTAAGTTAAAAACACTATGAAGCTAGCAAACAGCCTTCTATCTATCTGTCTATCTGTGTTGTAAACCAATGAAATCCTATCTTGCTAGCTAGCTATGCAAGGAGGCATCAAGCATGACTCAAAGTCTAGGAGAAGTCAAAAATCATCATCAGATGAGGCTTGCTTGTCATCATCTCTTCCTGAAGCGTGTCATTCTTCCAACTCCTCCTCTATGGCCTCGTTTCCCTTGCTACCACTGCCCTCCCCCTCTCTTGCTGGTGGTGCCGCCACATTGCCGAATGGGCGGCGCTTCTTGTAGCTGCGCCAGATCTGCACCACCTCATCGTAGTTGGGCTCGTACTCGAGCAGGGACATCGTGATGAGGTCTTCGAGGCGGGCGTCCTTCAAGCTCCCCCGCTGCCACGATTTGATGACGTTCTGGCGTAAGAAGCCGCGCTCACACTTTACTGTGCTCAGCGGCAGCACGGCGACAGCCACCCAGAGACGCACCAGATTGGGGTAGCTTGTCACCCAGTCGCTTGTCTTCCGCATTGCTGTGAGGCCGGCGTGGAAGCTGCGCTCGTTTTTGGGGGCACCCGTGAGGATGGGGCAGAAGGCACGCAGCTCCTTGATCGCACGCCGCTTGTCGACCCCTGCCACACAAGGCAGAAGGGAGGGAGAGGGGGTATTAGAAAGGCGTGCATACTCGTACACCATACTGTGATAACATGCCAGAACCCATCATCACGATCAGCCACAATGCGAGAGCGGGAGTACCTGGAATGATGTAGTTCGTGTCCTGTGCCCTGAACAGGCTCACGAGAGAATCGAGCCACTCGAGACACTACCTGTGGCGCTCTGCTCTCCCCAGCTCCTGCGGAGATAACTCTAGCAACGGGAGCCTGACTACGGGGAAGGCACGTGTGTGAGAGGGATCTCTGCGTTCGTTGTACGCACACTGCTTGCTAGTTTACGGGGAGAATTGGCAAGAGATCCACTAGGAAAACATCACAGCAAAGGTTCAGAATGATTGCAACAACATTGGCAACACTGACTACATCAGAGCTAGCTAGGCTGCTGGTCGACCTCCAGCGCAGCACGGTCGACCGCGTTCCAGCGCAGCAATGCTCGCACCGCTCCAGCGCTGCAGAGATGCGGCGCGCCAACGTTGCATGTCCACGGTGTGCCAGCGCTGCAGCAAGTCGGCTGCACAGCGTTGCACCCGCAGGATAACGATGCACCTGCTTCGCAGGTGTGCGCGGCTGGTTGGCGCTCAACTCCCCGTCAAGTGCCCAGCGCAAACATTCCCGCCCGTGACGACGCCCATCAGCCACGTCGACCTCGGGATACCACCCCCGAGGTCGTCCTCGCAAAAGTCTCCCCCGACGATCTTCGCAGATATCGCCCGGGTATCCCGGTCGACCGGGCAACCCTGCCTGGTCGTCCAGCCCAGTCGGACGCCGGCTACGCCAAGCCCGGCGTCCCACGTCGGCGTCCTGGCATCCAGGACGGCGTCCACTTGCCCAGGACGCCGTCCAGGCGCCCAAGTCGGCGTCCAGGCGCCCAGGACGCCGAGCAATTGCCCAGGTCGGCGTCCAGCCTCCCCGGACGCCAAAGTATCACCCAAGTCGGCATCCAGGCGCCTGGGACGCCGAGCAGACTCCCAGCTCGGCGTCCAGCCTTCCAGGACGCCGTGCAGACGCCCCGGTCGGCGCCCAGGCTCCCAGGACGCCGAGCAGACGCCCAGGTCGGCGTCCACCTGCTCGGCGCCCTCCAGCCAGACGCCCCCAAGCTCCGCGCCCTTGCAGTGGCCCCCGTGCCCACTGCTGTAGGTCGGCTGCATCCCCCCGCACAACCGACCACGAGGTCGGCTCCGCCCAAGCGAGGACGGGGCCAAACAACAACTCCCGTTGACACTCCCCTGCCGCGTTCACGCTTGGGCCCCTAGCCCACACGGCGGCACAGCACGGAAGATAGCTCGGCGCCGTGCACTCAACACACAGCACGCCGGACACCGCACCAGCCATGCAAGAGGGCATGGCACCTACTGCTGCACGTCGTTGTCGCCGTCGCCGACTTCGGCCAGGCGCACTTGGCCGATCGCGACGGAGCACCGGTTGAAGGCCGGATAGTGCAGCGCCTTCGTCAGAAAGTCGGCCGGCTGCTCAGCGGTCGGGATGTACTGCAGCGCAAACTTCCCCCGCTTCACCATGTGCTAGAGCCAAGCCTGTCGCCGCTCCATGTGCTTGAGGTTGCCCGTCAACCCCATGCCCCCGGCGACCGTGATGGCCGATATGTTGTCCACTCGCAGGATACTCAGCGTCCTGGCGTCCAGCTGCTGGAACTCTGCAAGGAGGAAACGAAGTCGGCGTCCCTCCTTGCCAGCTTCGACGGCCGCCACGTACTCCGACTCGGTCGACGACAGCGTCGCGCACTTGATGCGCTGGCTCGACCAGGAGACCGCGGCCCCTCCGTAGACGAACACGTAGCCGCCCGTGCTCGTCCTGCTCTGCTTGTCAGGGCGTCGTCGGCGTCCACGTAGCCGACTAGCTCCAGCGACTCAGGTCCACCGCCGAACTCCAGGGCGGTGTCACGCGTGTTGGCGAGGTAGGCGAGGCAGCGGTCGACCTCGTGCCAGTGCTGGTTGCTCCTCACCGTGAGGCCGCTCCCCAGCTTGCTGCAGGCGAAGGCGGTGTCCGGCCTCGTCGTCGTCGCCGCGAACTGCAGCGAGCCGACCTTCTGCCGGTACTCCTCCTGGCGTTCCTGCGCCTCCTCGTCATCGAAGGTGAGCTCGGCGTAGGCGTCGACCGAGACCGGCGTCTTCGGGGTGCGCCCAGTCTGCTCCTCGTCGATGAAGCGCCTACGCAGCTTGTCGGCGTAGCCCTGCTGGTGCAGCCACAGCTTCCCCGCCGACCTGTCGCGCACGATCTCCAGCCCGAGGTACTTCTGCACCGGCGAAATCTCGCGCAGCTCGAAGGCGGCTTCCAGCAGCTCCTTCAGCTCCTTCAGCATCTCGGCGCTGCTGCTGGCGGCGAGCAGGTCATCGACGTAGACCAGCACCCAGCAGGCCACTCCGTCGTCGCCGACCTTGAAGTACAGAGCCTCGTCGACCTGGCTCTTCTTCCACCCGGCGCCGACCAACACGTCGTTGAGCGCCAAGTACCACAGCAGCGGCGATTGCTTCAGCCCGTACAGGCTCTTCAGCAGCTTGCACACCCGGCCGGTTCCGTCGTTGAAGTAGTCCGGCTGCGACATGTACAACACCCGGTCGAGCTTGCTCTGCAGGAAGGCGTTCTTCATGTCGAGCTGCATCAGGTTGAGGTTGAGCACGGCGACGATGCTGAGGAAGATCCTCAGCGTGACGTAGCTGCCCACCGGCGCGAACGTCTCGTCGTAGTCGGCGCCGTACACCTGCGTGAAGCCCTTCACGACCAGCCTTCTTTTCACACTCGACGGTGTCGTCGATGTTGTACTTCGTCGTCAGCACCCACCGGTTCTTCATGATGTTCACTCCCGGCGGGCGTTCAACCAGCTCCCACGTGCCCATGCTAAGAAGGCTGCGAATTTCCTCCTCCATGGCGGCTTTCACTGCCGGACCCTTCCAGTTTGCTAGCGCCTTCTTCACCGTCATCGTTGAGATGTCCCAGCGGTGCTCGGGGTCGGCCAGCATCCGGAAACTCCTCATCCTCCTTGGCGTCGTCGTAAAGCAAGTCGTTGTCGTCCTCCACGTCGTATACCGTGGTGAAGGCAGCGGGGACGAAGAAGTCAGGCGGCCTTCGGAGGTGGCCTGAACGTCGTGGTCCCGGCCGGACCTCCTCGGCATCCCCTCCATCGTCGCCATCATCGCTATCCTCGGCGTCCTGCTGCACCTCCTCGGCGTCATGCTGCACTTCAGTCGGCTCCCCTGCCGTCTGCCCGGTCAACGACTGCTCCTTGATCGGCGTCGCTGCTGCCTGCTCCCCTCACGGCTGCTGTTCCGCGGGAGCTTCCTTGGTCGGTGTCACCACGGTCGGCTGCCTCCCGGTCAGCGTCAGTTTCGCTCCCACGCCGACTTCGGCAACAGCCCGTCGGCCACTGCTCCCCTCATCGCCGGAGGCCGACGCCGGAGTCAGCCCACGCAGGTCGGCGACGAGGGGAGGAAGGGTGGACGACCTCGGCGTCCTCATCAGCAAGCTCACCGACGTCGGAAAGCAGAGGGAGCGTTGCCATCGAGGTATCCGTCGGCGTGGCCACCAGCGTCCGCCCCGACACCGGCCCATGCTCCGACTTCCACACCTCGAGCGACATGGTCTCGTAGAACACCACGTCCGACATGGTGACCACCCGGTTGTCGGCGATGTCGAGGAGCTCCCAGCCCTTGCTCGCCTCCGACACGCCGAGGTGAAGGCCCCACCGGGCCTTCGGCTGCAGCTTCCCACCACGCTGCTGCTCGGGGACCAAGAACTGCGCCATGCAGCCCCACACCCGTGCCAGCGACAAGTCGGGCTTCGTCCCGGTGAGCAGCTGGTACGGCGTCGGTGGCAGCGCCGACCGCTCAAGGCAGTTGCGAACCCAGACGGCCTGCCGCAGAGCGAGGTGCCACCAGTGGTGCTGCACGCCCATGTGCAGCAACATCGTCCGCACCGACTCCACCACTGTTCGCGTTTCTCGCTCCGCCATGCCGTTCTGCTGCGGGGTGTATGGGCAGGTGAGGTCGTGGACGATCCCCTTGCCGTCCACGAAGGCGGTGAACTGCTTGTCGAGGAACTCCCCTCCTTGGTCAGAGCGCAGCTGCAACACCAATTTCTTCGTTTGCCGCTCCACCAGCACCAGCCACTTCTGGAATTCCCGCAGCACGTCGGACTTCCTGGCGACCGGCTTCACCCACACGTAGCGGGTCTTGCGGTCCTTCAGCAGCAGGAAGTACAGGCTGCCATCCTTGGCGGCCACGCGAAACGGCCCGCACAGGTCGATGTGCACGACGGCCAGGGCGTCCTCGGCGTCCGAGCCCTTGTCGGGGAAAGAGTGCCGCGCCAGCTTCCCGCCGACGCACGAGACGTAAGGCGAGACAACACCGGACGCCGACTTGAGGTCCAGCCCGGTGGCGACCTCGTGCTTCGCCGAGCTCCGTATGGTGTCCATGCCGACGTGCGCGAGCCTCGCGTGCAGCCTGTCCGGCGTCGCCTTCGTCGACGAGATGATGGCCCGCAGAGCCACTTCCTCCGCCGCCGACGGCGCCGGGCAGGGACGCAGGTCGGTGCAGAGGACCCGGCCGGAGTACGTTGCTCGGCCGAGGACGTCGCCGGTCGCCGAGATGAGCAGCATCCCGTCGCCGTCGTCCTGCAGCTTAACGCCGCGCTCCTTCAGCTGGCCGGATGACAGCAGGTTCGCGTGCACGCCCGGGACATACAGCACGTCGGGGATGAGCACCCGCTTCCCGGCCTCCCCTTGCAGCGCAACCGTGCCCCGTCCCTTGACGTCCTGCAACGCCCCATTGAAGCCGCGCACGTGCTTCACATCGCCGCTTGGCCCCATGTCGACGAATACCTCCTTCGTCCCCATCAGGTGGTGGGAGCAGCCGCTGTCCAGCAGGACCACTGCCGGGTTCGCCTGCACTGCTGCTGCCATCGCCTGGAAATCCTCACCGGCCTCCGGCGCCAGCGAGACGGTCGGCTCCACGACGCCGACCAGAGAGCACGACGCCGACTTGTCGTCGCTCCCCTTGCCGCCAGCAGAGG